AGACAAATTCACACTCTGAGCTGTGCCAGCAACCGGTGTATATCAGCTCAGCAAATTTCAAGCCCAGGCCTTGTTTGGTTTTGTGCATTTCCCAGTCCATGGTGAAGGTCTTGATGTCTAAATGAGCATGGTAAAGGATGATGCCTGCTGGGACCTGGTAGATACCTCAGACCTTCATCCAATGAAGTTGTTCTCAACGATGGCAATACAACCCACGCTGTGCTTGCCCGCAACTTCGTTCGGCACATGAAGAGCTCCACGGAGGTCTGGTGGGTGGGCCATCCTTGACGTTGGTCACCTTCACAGGGACCCCTTTTTTGAACTCGATCTCGACAATGTCATGGGTGTTGGGGGCTTTGGCTGGGTCCTGGGTCTTCGTGTAGAGATGTGGAGGCACTTAGTTCTTGGTATTCTGTGGGATTCCAGCCTCGTAGCTGATGATGGGCACGAGGTTCTCGTCCATCCTCCACGGGTTCTTGGGAGTGACCGGGATAGGAGTCCCACGTTGTTTTGCATATTCCATCAGGTCATTGCGGCCCTTGAACCAGTTGTAGAACTCGGGCATCCTCCAGGGAGCAACGACCTTTATCTGGGGGGCCAGTGAGTAGCAAGTGAGCTCAAACCGGACCTGATCGTTCCTCTTTCCTGTGGCGCCATGGGACACATACTTGGCCCCCTCCCGCTGGAGGATTTCCACTTGTTTGCAGTCGATGCAGGACCTGGTGAGAGAGGTACCCAGGAGGTAGCAGTCCTCATACAGTGTGCTGGACTGGATGGCTGGCCAGATGAACTCCACAAACTCCCTGCTGATGTCCTTAATGAACACTTTTTTGGCTTCAGTGCCTTCTTCCTGGCTTCCTCGAAGTCTTTCTTCTGGCCAATACTGGCCAGGTAGGCAATGACATAGCCTTGTCCTTCAGTCACATGAGGATACGGGAGGTATCCAGGCCACCACTGTAGGCCAGAACCACGGAGCCTTTGCTGGCCATAGCGTCTGGGATTGGAGGCGTGAGTTCCTGGTGTCTGGAATCTGTCTTCCCGGTGCAGTGAACCACTCGGGCCCCAGCAGTGGTGGCAGGCAACAGAGCAGGTGACTCCTCATTTAAAATTTTTTTTTTTTAATTAAGAAAATAGACTCACACAAAGAAATTGATGAGTTGCCAAAGTCAGGGATTATATGTCCCCTTGTTAGCACCTCCAACTTATAATTAATGGTTCCTGGGCTGGCTGTGGTGTCAGGGACTGAGTACAGAATCACGCCGTGGCATGTATAGAGGAGGGAATACTTAGGAAGCCCAGCTAGTCTTATGAACATCATGTGAGGACTTACCTTTAGCTGATGGGCATAGTATCCTTGCTCTAACAAGAATCCTTTAGGTTTAACAACATATGTCTTGCTTACATGGTTAATATATAGACGTTATTTTTAGTTTCAATAAATCCATGGAAGTCGACCTCCATGGTTTTAAGGGTAAGAAATGTGTCAAGTACTGAGACTGATACCTAATTCTTAGTACTCAGGAAAGATTTAGGAGAGGAGGATGTTTTGAGTAGAAAACTCCTATGGACTCAGAAGGGACATTGTGAGTGAAGACTAATTGGATAGAGAAATTAGTTCCTAGACATGTGCAGTAGCTGTGGCTTCAGTGTTCTCTGAAACATTCCGTACATCCTTCTCATTCTCTGGGTGTTATTGTGGACAGAACCTTGATCTTATAGTGAAGAGGCTTGACTTACAGTCCTACTTCCCACCAGAGATGAATTTAAAATTCCAAAATAGGCCAGTCGTGGTGGCCATGAGCCTTTAATCTCAGCACTTTGGGAGGCCAAGGCAGGCAGATTGCTTGAGCCCAGGAGTTTGAGATCAGCCTGAGCAACATGGTGAAACCTTGCCTCTACTAAAAGTGAAAAAAAATTAATTAGACTTGATGGCACACACCTGTAATCTCAGCTACTTGGAAAGCTGAGGCCAGAGGATTGCTTGAGCCTGGGCTGTCAGGCTGCAGTTAGCTGAGATTGCGCCTTGGTACTTCAGCCTGGATGGCAGGGTGAGACCCTGTCTTAAAAATAATAATAAATAAATGAAATTTATGAAATAATTTTTTCTACAAAGACATTTTTTCTCTTTGCTTCTTAATGCAGTTAAGGGATAGGGTTATAATTGAAAAACACATTTTTTACAGAAACTGTATGGAAAAAATGGATTCTCATGACAATGACTTAAATGCATTTTTTAATCTCAAGGATGATGCTTTTGTTCCAGAAAGATATATTACAGTCAAATTAATTTGTCTTTGCAATGAGACCAATGGATGAAAAGATCTCTGAAGTGCAAATTGTTGTTATTAATTTATAAGATAAAGCACCTCTTGTTTTGGGAACCGGTCCTAGAGCTGACTGTTTTCACATAATCTTATATTGTGGGTAATTATACACAGATATTAATGTGATAAAGATAATTACAAGAATCTATCATTGCTGGGGTTTTGGTTTATTTGATTGTGAACTTTTGGGAACTTTGGATTAGATGATTAACTTACACTGGGTATTTATTTGTTGGCGAGTGCCTGAAATAGTTACTGAAATTAACACAGAGCACGTTTTTACCTTTTCACAATGAATTTGTTTGATTAACAGCATGGTATTTATTCAGTTGGAGATCTTAAATACCAGATGCAAATTTCAAATTATCACTTCAACAATCGAGTTCAAATATTTAACAGATGAGTGCAGGAAAGATTAAGTGGGAAATTTACTTTAAAGGACAAATGTGTGTGTTAGACAGAGATAGAAGGAAACACCAGTAAATTTTAACCATTTCAGGCCTTATGGTGTGGCAGACACATGGATCATGCAATGGTGATGTTTTTCATGTTTGGAAATTTTCTATTCCTTACAAGTTGTATGTAACTTTTCCTGATACATTAGGGAATGGCATCCCACCTTAGCCTTGTGTAAGCATCACCAAGAGATCTTGTTAAAAATACAGATTCCTACTATGCAGCCATAAAAAAGAATGCGATCATCTCCTTTGGAGCAACACAGATGCAGCTGGAGGCCATCATCCTAAGTGAATTAACAGGAACAGAAAGCTAAACACTGCATGTTCACTTAAAAGTGACAGCTAAACACTCAGTACACATGGACATAAAGATGGCAACGGTAGACATTGGGGATTACTAGAGGGGAGAGGCAGGAATAAAGGGTTTAAAAACTAACTATAGGGCACTATGCTTACTACTTGGGTGACTAGATAATTTATACCCCAAACCTCAGCATCACACAGTATACCCAAGTAATAAATCTGCACATGTAGCCCCTGAATTTAAAATAAAAGTTGAAAAAATAAAATAAAACAGCAGAAAATACAGTTTCCCAGGCCTGTTGGGATTCTGAATTGTAGATCTGGTCTGGTGTCTGCACACCTGTTGATAAGCTCCTCAGGTGATTCTGATGCACAGCTTGCTTTAAGAGGCATTAAATTAGGGCATTCCTGTGGCATACCTAGCTTAAAACATGGTGTCTTATGAATTTGCTCTTAAAATCATAAACAAGAAAGCATAAGAAAAGAAACATTGTTCTTTCTCTTTTCCCTTACCCATCAAGCCTGGTTCCAAACTTTGCATGTCTTTTCTCTTTATTGTCAGGGACACTATCACCTTCAAGCTATGTCTTCCCCCAATTTTTTACCTGAGAAAAGAATCATTTACCCATATCTAGCGTAATCCCTCCTGGGATTTAGATTCAACTCATGCTTGAGAGTAGCTCTGATGATAACTGGGCCTTTTTCTAGCTATCTGGATTCTGCTACCTCATTGTACTTCAGTTTATATTGCTGGATTTCTGGATTGTTCCTAAATCTTAGTCCTGAAAATCCGTCTAGTAGTTTTTGTCCCTCTAGGATTAGAGCTCGGTATTGGTTTCCCTCTAGTCTCTTCCCAAGAATGTAAATTTGCTTCAGAACCTGGTCCAGAGGCCAGAACAGTCACAGGTTATTAGATTTCTCCATGCAGTATGGCATGCTTGACTTCCTGAAACCTATGTCTACTCTGATACCATATCCCACTCACTCAACTGCCAGATACTCTGTGTTGGACTTCCTAATGACTCCTGACTGTGGACAATCCACCTGAGAGAATAGGTTGTTCCTATTGTTCCAAGTTCTCATTCTATGTTCTGGTTAGCTTCATTCTATGTTTTGGTTAGCTGAGTCCAGACAGGTGATGTCCTGAGACCTGAACCCACAGTGGAGCATCTATGAACCTCTGTAGATTGTATGAGCAGATTAATCGGGGAAAAAAGCATGCTTTTTTATGTAGGTTTTTATTTCCTTTGTCTTTCTCACTGTCTGTATCATGAGACATAAATTTATGCCTCTATGGAGTGGGATGTGAGTCAACTCAAGATAATATACTTGAAGGCTCAGAAAAGGATGATAGGCCAGTCTGGTACAAGATAACATGATGAATGATGAGTGTTCTGATTATATGCTCACTTGGTATAATTTAGATTTTTGTCTATTCTGAGACAATGGCACTAAGGCCTCTTGATCTATCATGCTGGTAACAACTGTGTTCTGAAAAGGTGGCACATCTTGTGACCCCCTCCTAGGGAGTTAAGGCTGTTACTTGATGGTCCAAGAAATGTGGTTTTGAAACAACTTCTCAAAAGATGTTTAATTATGGAATAAGTTGTATTGAACCTTTACTATGTGCTAGAAACTGGACACAGCTGTTTAAAGTTCAGGATTATCTGAAAGGCTTAATGCTTTCTTATGCCTTAACAAGTGTGTAGTTTTACCATCCAGATCACAAGCTTCGATGATGCTGCACTGGACATATCACTCTGGTTACTATCCAGGTTCAACAAATCACTCTGGAGTAAGATTAAACTTTTGTGTTCCAATAGAGATTGACCTTCCCCAGACCAACACCAGTGTCTGCGATGGCACCAGTGTCTAAGAAGGAGGTTGAAAGAAGGTTTCAAGACTTACCCTTGGCTGTCCACATGCATGGGCCAGTTCTCTGGGCTAGACTGCGGCAGAACTTTCAGTCGAGGCTGATGGCAGAATGCTAGCTATTGAGGCTTTATTTTGTTTCTTAAGATAGGCATTCATGTAAGTGAGTATGAATTTAGGGTGTACTGAAGCTGAACAGACTTCTGCATTAACATTCTTGTCAGTATCCCTTCAGGGTCAGATGGATAATGGAAGGGTGAGTCCCATATGTCCCCTTTATTATGCATCTGGAAACTGCCAGCTGAGTTGACCCTCCTCTGTGATCAACACTGCATCTGTTTTCAGATTATGTCAAGGCTCCAGAGTTCTGTTTAAGTAGAATATTGCTCTAAGTCTCCATTTGTCTGACTCAGTCACCTAACACAGAAAAAAAAAAAAAACTGAAATAAAAACCTCATACAAGATTCTATAAAAATAGTCACTAAGTCAATTCTAATAAACATGAATGGTTCTGTAAACTACAGATCAAATTCCTCCTCCCACTCTTTTTGGCTCATGAGTAATTATCATGGCAAGAGGATTGAAAACTGCTTAGAGGACACACATATCTGTTAATTAAAGCCATCAAAGGTCACAGAACTCCGATTTTCCATATTAATGAATATCTATTGATATTCGTAGAATTCTTGAAAACGTACCCCTATTTTCATCTGTTTCATCAACTGTGTTTGTGGGTTTGTGGGACTTGGTGGTAAAATAAGAGTGGGAAGACAACACCTTTTGGCTCACCCCAAGTGACAGTCAACAGTTAGTCTCATTTCTTCTCAAAAAGGGAATTTGAAGAGTATAGGCATTCAGAAGTGTGTTAACTACTTAAGGAAATATAAGGAGAAGCTCTTGGTTCACAGGCCCACTTTTCTTGGGTAGAATTATGTTAATAACTAGAACGAAAACATATTTCAATCACTACTACTTGAACATGCATACTTCTGTAGCATTTTTCATAATTGAAAAGAGAAATGTGAGGGATTGCATTCACAGCATTCAATACCATAAATGCTTATTTCTGAACTGTGATTGTGTATTGTTTCATGGCTCGTGCTGACATGTGCTTAATTCCTGTCATAGCCAGAATGGTGTGCTCTGGGCTGATTACATTTTGACGAAACTCTGTACGGAGATTCTAGGAATGGCCAACATATAATAAGTTTGTGTGTGTGTATGTGTAAATATGTTAACCATGTTTAGACTTCCATTAGATATTTAAGATGACATGCGACATTTTCCTAATGTTTAAAACCATATTTGCCAGTTTAGACTCAAGTTTGCTAAAATAAAGAAGACATTCACCAAGCAAACAGGCTTTTCTCTTTTGACTGAAAACAGGCATGTCTAAAGAGTACCCATTTTATTGCTAGTGATATAATAAAGAACCACAGAAATTGGGATGGAAGAGGGTGAAGACCTGAATCTGTTCAGAGGTTGGGGGTGTTTCCCTAGATAGCAACATTTAAAAAATAAAACCAAAAGAAAGAGCAGGCAACATGCAGGTAATAAGAATGTAGCAAACGATACATACAGAAATAGAAAGGGAGGGAGGGAGAAAGAAAGAAAGAGAAAGAGAACCACAAGGACTTTGTAGTTCCTACTCTTTTTCCCTTCCATTAAGGCTATCAAAAGTAAGTTGCTTATTTCAAAACAGCAGGGAGCTATGAAGGAGCTATGATGTCCCCTAGGCAGAGAAATTTCCTAAAATATCTGAAATCTTTTACTGTTTCTTCCCCATGGTCTTTAAGAAATAGTCCAAACTCCCTCAAGTGGCTATAAGGTCGGATATAATCCAGTCCCCACCTACCTCTTCCGCCACATTTGTGCTTTTACTTTTTTCATTCTGCTCCTGTCAAACTGACATTCTTTCATTCTTGATCTGCCATATCCTCTATGGAATCTGAATCTTCACAACCTGATATTCCATACTTCATTATTCTTCTTTTCTCCCTACATGTGTCTAAATGCCTCTTGTCTTTCTGGTCTCAGCTTGGTTATCATTTCCTCAAGGAAGACTTCCCTGATTTCTCCTCTGCCTGATGAACTCAGGTCGTCTTCTCCATATTCCTATAACACTCAACTTTTTTTTCATAGCACTCATTGCTGATGAATTCACCTGTTTAATGCTTGCCTTTTCCATTACACTGTAAGCTCCATGTGTTTACTGCTATATGCAAGAATTAGCCTGATCCCTTCCACTGGGTTTGTGACTAAATTTTCTGATAGCACTAGAAGTAAGACAATTGAGGCCCCAGGGTAAGTGAAAACTTGTCTGAAAAAATGTGAGGAATAATAAACACTCATGGGTTGTTGTGACATAAGACATGTAAAACATCTACTGAAGTTTCTGGTACATAAGACTCATCAATTTGTACCTTGTAAGTAGCTTTGTGTCCTTTATTTAGAATTAAGCAGTATAGAAATTGATAAATATATATCTCTTCTTAGACATATCAAAGTCTTTAAACTCAGCAGATTCAGACTCATACTTGGGATCTCTTTCCCCAAACCTGTATTGATCCGTTATTCCCACCCTCAGTGGACAGAAGCACCTGGATAGCCATCCTCAACACCTCTAACCTCTGTCTTCTCCCTAGCAGCCAATTCTTAACAAATCCTGACCACTTTATATTTATTCACCCCATTCAGTCCTCTTCATATTCATTTCTTCCACCCTAGCCCATACTACCATCATCTAATTCCTGTAAAATAGAGTGTCTTCATAAATGATCCTCTTTTTCCTTGCATGCCTGCCTCCAATTCAATCTTCTCAATGTAGTTGGAGTGACTTTTTGAAAACTTACATCACACCAAATCACACACATCCAACTTTATATTATCCAAAACAACAGAAACAACCACCACCAGCACCACAAGTAACATGGTAAATGGCATGTTATACTATCATTATATGCCAGGTACTATTTTAAGTGCTTTATGTATATTGATTTATTAAATCCCCACAAGAAGTCAGACAGTTGTGTGCATTTAGTCCATCATGGAGAAACGAGCACAGAGAGGTTGGTTGAGTGATTAACAGCAGCCCACACACACTACTCTTCAGTAGTTTTCTAAGTTGGAGAGGCCCTTACTGAGTACTGATAAAGAGAGTTGACTATGGAAAGAGATTTCCTGGCTTCAGAGCCTGGCTCTACCATTTCGTAACTGCAGCTTTATCTCTCTGGACTCTGTTTCCTTATCAGCTAACTGTGGAAAATAATAGTGCCTCCTTTATATGGTGTTTTCTCAAGTAAGTAATACAAATAAAATGTTTAGAATGGTACCTAGTACAGAAAAAGATTTCAGTAAAAGTTACTGATATTACCATATATGTATAAAAACATAGGCCCTATATATCCTTCCAAACTCATCCTTTACAGTTCTTTCCCCTTTCTCTTCTTTTTATTCTGGTCTTGTCTCTGAGAATCATTCCTCATACTATAAGAAACACACGTCCCCTTATCTTTTCCAGCAATCTTGCTCTTCCCTATTTTACTTTTACACATTGTTCAGTTCTTAGCTGAGAAGTCACTTACACATGGAAGTCAATCATTACTTGCCTGCAGTCTAGTATAGCTCTCACTATTATATATGCTCAGTATCTCCTTGTAACTTTCCTGTGAAGCGTTTATCACAATGGTAATTTTATATTTATTTGTGTACTTTTTTGGTTGTCTATCTTTCTCATTAGAATACAAGGCCCATGAAGAAAGAGACCAAGTCTTTTTGTGTTCAATCTTGTACAGTGAGCCTGATATATATTTGTGTTGGTGAGTGAATACACATATTTCTCCATTATCTGTAGTTATAGCATAAGGGGTATGTTTTGGTTTTAGAAACACAAACTTGACTCACATTTCTGCAGTGCGGTTGCTATACAATATGGTAAATCCACAGATATAGATATATGTATATATATAACAGATATTATATATATGTATGTATTGATATGTATATAGGCATCTCAGTATACTCAGTACTCAGGGGATATGTTCACGGCAGAATCGCCTGTACAGGTATTGCCTGCAGTGGAGACTTTGACAATTCTAGTGCTCATATTTTGTGTCACCTTCTTGGTAAACTTCTCTGCCCCCCATTCCCCTGGAAACAAGTTTTGCAAGTCTTTCTCGTGCAGTCACATGCTACCAACTGACGTGCTCTTAGGGTTCTTTTGTTCGTTCATAACGTGCCTAACTTTTCTTTCAATCTTGGGTATAGTTTGTCTTTTATCTTTAAAAAATACCCATTCTTATACCAGAACTGGTGAAATTTAGTTAGTCCTATATCTCTGTTACAACTTGACTCCTGGGAAATCATTAGTGCTACTCCTTACACCCAAACACCATCCAATTTTTGTGTGTGCCTTTTACAGTTTTTTTCTGTTACTGTGGCTTTTCATTTCACCTATAATAAGTCTAAATTCCCTACCATGAGCTATAAGTTCCTGAAGAGTCTGGTCTCTGTGTACCTCTCCTGATGCATTTGCTGTCTCTCTCCTCCTTTCCCACTGTACTCTAACTATGCTGGCCTGTAGTTTGAAAAATATAGCAGTTTTTTTTTTCTTTTTTCTCCCACCTCTGCAGCTTTGGATTTCATAATCCATCTGGAACACCATTACCCCCAGCCTTCCCATGTGAGGCACCTGAATAAAATTTAATATTCTCAGGAATGCTTTTTCTGGCTATCCTACCTAAAGTAGGCTTACTTTTTAGAGCACTTAAAATGATAACATGTAATTAATTAATTTGTTTATTCACTTTTTTTTGGGGGGGGTCTGAATCCCCTAATATAATACAAGCCCCATAAAGCAGGGCCTATAAAAGCTTGACCATTTTCACTTCTCAGCATCTATAATGTCTGGTGCGAACATGGGAACATTAGGATTAAGTCCTTAGATAAGATAAAGTATTCTTTATTACAAGAAAATTTATTTAGCCCAATCAAATTTGCAAAATGATAGACCGCCTAATGAAATCACCTTCTTCATCTAAGAGTACATGACATGTACTGCCTACAGACATAGCCTGAAAACTGCACCATTGCATGTTAATTGTGTTATACATCACAATTGGAGCATAGGAGGAGGGCAACTCGTTCTGGAAACTGGGGACAAAATGACACAAAAGTTGGCACATTGCATGAGACACAAGTCCCTCCAGTGAGCCGTGAATTCGCAGCTTGAGCAGTGCTATAAGGTATGACATATAGCCTTAGTGTCTGTTGAATCCTCAGTCCCTGACATGAGACCTGGCACATGGTAGGCTCTCAAATATCTGTTGAATGGACAAATGAATCCATATAACATGCCACAACCTGGTAATCTTTATTTATACTGAAGCTATTTTTATTACTCAAGTTAGTCATTTTTT